GTTACGCTTGAGGCCAACCCTGTAAGTTAATAGAATAAATTCAACATACCATTTCAATTATTGTACATTCTAAGACTTTAAAGTTTTTTTCTTTTGTGTTAAAAAAGAGCTGAAACATGATATTTATGTTTGAAATGTATAGAAACCTTGTCTTTGGTAAACCCCTAAAATGATAATTATATTTTTCTTAATTACCTTTCTCTTTCCTCTACCTCATGAGGTTCAAAGAGTTTTGCAGGAGTACCTATCTCCAAGTGTGCCTCCTCTCCTAGGAATATCCGTTCATCAAAGTCCCCTGCTGACAACACGTATGCCTCATACTCCTTGTTAATACTTTTCCTGCAAAGAAATCAACTTGAGCATTATGCTTCAAGAATTTTAATAATGCAGAGTCAAAAAAATTAACAAAAAGTGYTACAGTGAATTATCATGTAATAGCTAAATGCATACCAATTTGATTCAAAGTTGTTGAGATCTAATATACCACATAAGCTATCTTCTGTTCCCTTTAAAATCTGTTCAAYAGAGAAAAAATGAACATGACCCATGAAATAAAACTATCAAATCATGTTGAAAAAGTAAAGGAAAATATGGGAAATAACAGTGACTGAGATTGTGCAATATACAGTATATTTCAGGTAAAATCCTATTTGAATATAGTACCTTCTTCTCAAATAGCTTTTGAATGAATGGCTTCCAGTAATGTTCCTTGATACTTTTTGCTTCTAAAACAATACCTGAACAACAACACAACATAATGATCAAAGGTTGCAAAGTTAAACATTTTAATCCCAATAAATAGAAAGCGTAAAGAAAGACAGAAGTAATGGTAAAATGTGATCAGGTTACCTTGATATTTAGCACACAGCTGGTCTACAATACACATTGGCTTTGCTGACTTGGTATCCTTTGCAGCAGCTGAGTCRCTTTGTTGGCCTAAACAGAACAAGTAATCTTGAATTATCACACTATCAATAAACCATCTATGATTCCCTTATCATTTGCTGGGAAATGCATTTAAGGGTGGATACAGGATAGGGGCTATGATGTGTTGYAAGCCACCCTATGAGAACAGCTTTGAAAKTTCTTMGMMAGTCAMTGYATATGAAGCAAATCCTCTGGCTATCATATCAACAGTCCTTCTTTGACAATTACTTGGGTSCATCTATGACATTTCTATTCCATAATAGTCTATTATTTGTAATACAAGAGAAGTATATCATGTTTACCTTCAAATGCAGGGTTAATAAGATTTTTCTTGTGTTGYGATGTCGATGCATTACTGTAGATAAGGTCAAGGCAGCACAAAAGTAGATGATAGGAATTGACCAGATCGTCACTGATTGCTGGGAAGTTTCCTGTTAATAAAAGAGAATATAGCAATGAGTAAATATAACTGGGTAAAATAAATGGAGTAAACCAATAAGAATTTATATCAATAAACGTTAAAACTCTTTTAACTTTTAAATAATTATAGGGTTTGAAAAACTGTTACTTCCAGCTGCAAATGGGTACTGCCCATACAATTCTTTGGGTAWTCAGATACTAGCTAGATATCTTTGCATGTAGAATAAACAATTTGGAATTGTTTAAGACTTAAATGAGTAGACAAGGTTAAGTTCAGAACTATTTTTACTAGCTTAAACATCTCAATATATGAAATGAAGTCAAAAACCTCAACAACCAAGGTCACCTTTGCATGTATACTATATGTAAGGTATGCAAATTGAAGTACAATTAAATCCATATGCAAACATAAACATGACCTAAAASTACCACACTTGTAGAGGAGGTAATTGCAGCGATATGTGACCACAAAAGAAATCCTAATATCATGGCTGTAATTTTAGGATAAATACTCTTTGACATAAATACTCTTTGTTGGGGAATATAGGGCTTGTTCAATTAGTTTTAAAACATCAGTCAACCATGAATACAATATTGCTATATATACACGATCAGTCTCAAGAAATACAAAACTAGTATTTGCTAGTAGGGTACCTTTGACTTTCAAGTATAATTTTTTTCTACTTATGATTCATTGATAATTTTAATACTTAATTAATAGATCAATAGTAGCGACATGTCTGAACATGATTACAAAGCTGTATGACGTTTTAATCACTTTCACAATGCTTATGACAACAACTAAAATATAAATATGCTTAGTTTTATAAACCATACSCATTCAGGAAATAGGAGAAATAACAGGAAAAAGTGGATGATAATGCAGRTATAAGCTTGTTTGCATGCAGTTCTAATAAGCCAAGAGCTTAATTATTGTAGTATTTAGGTCTTTAAGAGGTTATGCATGGGTTGCTGTATATCAACCTAAAAGCCAAGCTATTTTATTTCCATAATCACAGCATAGCAAAGATGGAAAAGATCCACAATGCAAATGCAGTGCAAACCTGCATTTGATGGCAATTTCAATAATAAAAATAAAAACCMSTTTACTTTGATGGAAATGGCCCACATTTTATGTTTAGAAAACTTTTGCRTAAAGGATGGAGTAGACCTTCAAGGTTTTGTGATTTTCATCATATTCACTAATATTTCAGCAATATCAAACAGCAARAAAAAGCTTTTATTRTGCTTTCCCGCAGTGAGATTTAATAATTATTTTTTGCCGGGAGATCTATCTGTCTTYTATCATAATATCAATTTCCTGTCTATGTGTCAACTAGCAAATCCAAAGTACACAAGAATGACCAATCTTTTACAGGTTTTAAACAAATCTACGCACTACAAACAAATTGCAAGTGATGGGTGATACAACAGTYCAATGTGATCGGAAAATGCAATAGATTGAAATCAACAATATGCAAACATCACGATGTCGGACGCATATCATATTTAAAGCTTAAATTTTACGAACGATATTGAATTTCCTTTTAGGACACTAAGCTCATGTTAGGAAATACCCATATAGTTCCCTRCATTAGCTAAAATGAAGGGAAATGATCATTTAATTGCTCCCTTCAMAAAAWTTAAATATGGCATGATTATTTCGCTATGAAATTCAACATCGTATGGAGCGAGATCAATATTCTTGTGACCTTCAAAAGAACTGGATACAGTATATTTCTATTACCTTTGGCCTGAACATACAAGGTCCAACCAAATGCAAATACTTCAGCTGGTGTACAGGGATGTTTCCTAATGTATTGAAAAATAAAATATCATGAACAACAAAGAAGTCAATTCGTATCACATGTTTTGCAAAGAAACGCGCTAAACAATGCACTCACAAGCTTTCATTATGCGATTTAAAAACGCGTGTACTAACTCGAGAACTTTATTACAACAAGCTGAATTCAATTAAACGTGAAAATGGTAAAAGATGGATTCATTTAGAAAATATTTTACGCGACTTTGRCTTAAAGCACAAGCGAAATCATCAATGCGGAATTTTTCTTCCTGCAGAAATTGTTTACAGTATGAAAATTCTGACTTACCGAGCTTTTCTCCCTGCCCGGCCTTTTGGAACCTCTTCATTAGGATCTCTAAAGAGATCAWGGAAAATTGGACGATATTTCTTGAATATAACTGTTGAAACGTGAAAATTTCGTTCGAGATGTTCTATTTTTCTTCGAAAATCTGACGACGCGTTCGACATGTCCAACCATTTCTTCATTTTGTTRAAGAAGTCTATAAGACTGTAATGCAATGGAAAGAAGAAACTTTAGCTACTTGAAATGATGGAAATATTTTTAAAGAAGAGTCTTTTATTGAAGAAACTGTGCCTACCTTAATCCAGAGGCGCGAATGAGTCTTGTTAGGGAGACGCAGTTTCCCTCCACAGTTCCTGAAGAGTCAACGGTTGGCACAACACTTCGTCTACAAGCGACGTACAAAGCACAGGCAAGCCAGTGAATGCTTTTTCCCTACAACAACATAGACAAAAAAAATATYAYACAAGTCTCTGAGATGCAAAATATAAACGTTTACATCTTGTATGAAACATTCGATTGCAAAGAAAAAGCGGTTGTTTCGTGTATCTGWAACAACAGCAGTGTTCAACAGACCTCTAGTGAATAGTTCGTTCTGATCCTTTCGTACGACTTCCAAGCCTCTTCAGACGTTTCACCGTCCATGTTAAGCTCTCGACAGACATTGTCGAACCTTTCTCTGGGATCAGAGTCGTCTTCTCTGTTTATATTGGAGGCCATTTTGACTCTGTTCCTTTCCCCTCCAAATAATTTACATGTACGGTCAAAAAACGTAAGCAGTTCACCTGAAATGGCGGGAAAATCTGGTGACGCATGCCATATTTGGAAGACTGCGGCCATGACGACAACATGTCAGCTGTCAATAACAATGCGCTTTGTGYTGGCTTTCTCGCCTTATTTGGCGTGAACTTCCCGCCAAGACCTATAAATCTGCCTAGACTCGTTCGATTTTATGTAAACTTTCTTTGAACAAAAGAGAATCTTCTAAATTTCTGCATAGATTTTTGTCTACATTTTATGTTTATCTGCATCTAGATTTGTAACCACGATAGTGACGCAAAGGTCATATTGATATCATCTGTGTGTCGTGTTTGGCCTGACAAGCATCAAACAAGCATTCCATCGCACGTGACTTCAAACAAAGCACGCTAATTACATCCATTAGAGTCTAGCGCGTCGTCTGTGATTTATATTTCCTTCCTCTCCAATATCTATAGCGCGAAATTAATGAAAATACACACTTTTCACGAATTCGTATGAAGCAATATTTTTGTAAACTGTAKCGATTTTTTTGTTTTTTTTTTCTAAAAAAATATTTGCGCGAAGCTCATTTATTTAAAGTGGAAGAGTTCGTGAAAATTTTGTAAATTTCATCAAACTCACGAAATGTATTTTTTTTGCTGATTATCTGATTGATTTAGATGGAAGAATTTTTAGAAGGTTAACTAAGAATTTCGATCAGTTAGGCATTCAAAGCACTTTATTTGCGCGCCTGTTTAGCAAGTAATTTTATCCAGCGCGCGCTAAAAGTCATGTGATTACCGAGAATTTATTCATGTGTCAAATTTCGTTCTCTCGGATTTTCCATTTACAAAAATGTTGTCTTCTGCTGGAATTCCGCAAAGAAATTCTTTTGCAAGAGCTCTTTCTCCTCTTATTTCAGCAACGATTATATTTGGGCCAGGGGAAAGAATCAAAACTAAATACAATATGGTTTTGTCGAGTGTTATTTTTACTCTCTTGCTGATTACTCTTGCATTTGTTGCWGTTCTCGGTGTCTTCGTGCGAACTACGATAGACACGTGGATTCAGTTGTCACTATACATAGTTCCTTTACTGTCTCTTATCTGTGGCTGGAATATTTATGSAAGTGAGGGCTTCAGCACTTTGATTGAACGAAAGCTTGTCAASTGGAGCGGCGCCTTGGCCATTGCCGTAAAAGATGAAGACGTTCACGARWCTAACCGAGGCCCATGGCTCAGACGGTCAGCGATCAAAAACTGTTTATATCCTTTGGTAATCGAACTGTACCAGTGGAGTGCTTATATTGYCTTTCATCAGCTGATAGGTGATACAAAGTTTGCTGGAGCTTGGAAAGAACACAAGTTTTTGATCATCGATGATAAAACTTGGACTATAATTTATGTGTATTTTTGGACTTTTGGTGTTTATATAACTGGGTTTGTAAGCTACTCGTTTATTCTTGTTGCGAGATTAWCTATAAGAGATGCTATAAGTTTCATGTGTCGCTTTGGAGACAGCCCATTCCTCCCTTACAGGCCAACGCACAAGAGAATTGCCAATTCCCTTTCTGACAAAACCAGCTCTGTCAAAAAGTTCATTTTAATCGTGGTTGGTTTCCTGTCGCTGGACTTGCTTGATACAGGAAAGGACATTGTTTTGTTTTATGAGCAAGAAAATGAAGGCGTTGAAGACACGTCACTTCAGAGGAATCTTCTTGCAAGCAATATCTTGGAACARGCTTTTGAGGACAGCAGCTTTGAAGAATCTGTTGATGTCAGACCAAGATCATCTAGCCTGAGTGTTCCAAAAACTCCTAAAATAAACCCAAATGATGCTTGCAAGTTTCTTACAAAATTTATAGGCAATCTTGAYGCTTTAGCTAGCACTTTCCAACCATTCATCATCTTATTGGCATTCTTCTCGGTTGCAAATTTTGCAACCCACATTGTTGCCATAGTGATAAAAATAAAGGATTTCCAGGACACTCATTGGTGGACTTTCACACGCACCCTTTTATGGATGCTGTTGGCAATACGGTTGTTGTGGAGCTGTGCTACAATCACCCGCATGCTGTCACGCATTCCTATGCATGTGGACTATCTGCGTTGTATTGGTGTCTTACAAGGTTCTGATAATGAATGGGAGGGTTTCTTTAGACTTATGAAAACTTTACAGCTTCGCAGCAGAACATATGGGTTTCCTCTCTCTTTGAAGCAAGTTGCTTACTGTGCAACTTTTTTAAACTTTGCATTTTTGATTGTGCTGTCTATTATGCATCCTAAAACAAATTAATGTATCATAGACTCAAGGATAGCAACATCATTGAAAAGTTGAATAAGAATTTGGTTTATGGCACCTGTTTAAAAAACAAAAACAAAAGTAAACAAAGATTGATAAAATCCTGAAATATCGATAAGCCTATTGATTTCTTTTAMATTAGAGAAAACAAAAGTAATCCATGGTAAATAGTAGAAAAAAAGGTGTAATATTATGCAAATTTATTTATTTTCTATTGTCTAATCAACACATAGTTAATTATGATCAACACTATAATGGCAGTTGTAATTTAGTAATATTTGTGTGTCCACCATACTTCAGGGTTCGCACTACTCCTTGAAATCTTTGAAAAGTCCTGGAATTGAAAACTTGTTTTCAAGGGTGCTTGAAAAGCCSTTGAAAATAATAAAAATTGCTAAAACTCCTGGAAAACTCCTTGAATCTCAAGAAATTAACATATTGCCTTTTGGATTGAAATGTGGCTATTTTTGAAAATCACCACTGGAAACATTTGCAAACATCAAAAAATATCTTCAAAAATAGTCCTTGAAAATTGCATTTTTGTGCTTTAAAAAGTACTTGAAAAGTCCTGGAATTTTGTAGCAAAAATTTTGTGTGAACCCTGATACTTGTTTCAATATATATTTTTATATCAATCAAAAATAACTCACAGCAGGGGGTAATAGATTAATAACATTAGTCAAAATATTACAAAAATATAGATTATTACAGCCTTTTGCACAAATTACGAGACATTTTTATATATATAAATATACAGTATATTTATATATATAAAAATGTCTCATAATTTGTGCAAAAGGCTGTAATTAAAAGAATATAATAAATTGCTAATATCATGTCTAGATTTGTGTGGCACTGTTATCAATAATAGAGTGTTAGCCTTTAAAGGGTGAAATAAATATTACTAATTACTACTAAACAGTGTTGATTATACAATAGGAAACAAAGGAATTTGTGTAATTTATCACCTATTTTGTGAGCACTCTTGTAATCAAATATGGAGTTTGTATTTTGTCATTTTAAAGAAATAAAGTACCATGGGAGCCGAGTGTCATTTACCTAACCTTCTAAAATAAAGTAAATATCTCTCTCTGCTTKCACATGAGAATAAACCACACTTGTAAGTGTTTGCAATAATTTTTTTTTCCAGCATTGCAACTTTTTTTCATCTGGGATCCCTGTGTTTTCTTGAGAAAGAAATCCTGACAAATAATTCGTTTATACAAATTTTGTTTTTTTCTTTTTTCTATTTTTATGTCATTGTACAGCACTCTAATGATGTAAATGGACCTATCATATTATCAAAGGCAATACATCTAATCCATATCCTATAACAAGTCTTGCTTTCTAGGCCATCACCAAATACATGTTGTGTAAAAGGCAACATATATGCTGTGTAGTCATTCTCATGGGGTTTTTGAATCCACACTTCATATGTTAWAGAAGCATTTATAAAGTAATTAACATTCATAGGTGGTCTCCACGAGATGAAGAGAGCTGGCTTGAGTGTATCATTTATTGGTATGCAAGCTATGTCCAAAACTTTTGAAGGGTAAAGTTTGATTATTCCATCATTTATAATCAAATTTCTACTTCTATTAAAGGCGTCATTAATAACATTTAGAAATGATACTTCATCAACAAGTGTGTCCTGATATATTCTGTACAACCAAAATGGATTACTACAACAAATGTGAGGAGCCACTTCTAAGGTACTTTCTATCAGCTCCTGGTCCTCTTTTGGTAGGTGCCTAATTCCCCCAATTTCAGGATCATCATTGGGGTGCGTGACAGTGTTCTCTGGAAATGTATTCCTCCATGATGCATAAATTAAATTCATTCCTGGAATTTCAGCAAGTGTTTTATATGGTAGATAATTCTCTGGGTTGATAGCAAATGGAAACATTTCCACCAATATTGCACTGGGTGGGAGGAAGATAGAAAGAATCAGAGCAGATCCATGCATTCCTACTAGTACTGATGCATTACTTATGACTTCTATTAGTTGAATAAATGTATGCGTCTCCATACTAACTTGCACAACTTTCATACTGAATTCCTTTGACATCGCTAAGGAAACACTTTCCTCATTCAAAACTAAACGATTGTACTTCCTTAGAAACAATACAATGTAGGGTTTACGCCTAGCAACAATGCCAATACCAAGTCTTTCTTTAACAAAACATACAAATTCTTTAATTTCATTTGATGTCACCTGAGTTTTAGGCAAAGGGCCCTGTGGAGTTTTGAACCCATATTGGTACCAAGTTGTTGCCTTTGAAATTCCAACAACAGCATGCTGAAAGCATTTCAAACTTTTGTTTTGAATCACATCTTGTTTTAATAATGGCCTTTTATTGCTGAATAGTTTATATAAATCAAAATAAGGACCAGGACTCCATCCTTCCATAAATACARTACGACTGTCTACATCCAGAGCATATTCTCCTTGGTTGCTGTAGTGCTTCATGGTATGGAAAAGTGGTAACAGATCATCATGAATAACATGCATGATATTTTCACAATTAAATCGATGAAAAATAAAACTCAGACCATTATAAAATGTAACATTGCTGAAAGAATCCAACGAATTTGCAGGAACATCCACAAAGTTGAAGTACTGAGTGTTGTGATCATCTACTGATGACATGTCAAGCAAGGCTGGCTGAAACCGGTCATGGGGTAAGCCAACCATCACWGTCTTGTTGCCGTGAAAAAATACATATTCCTGGTGGATTGGATGATAGCAAAGATTCCTAAACTTGCAGATACGCTCAGTTTTGTTGGCCCCGGTACACCAAATACTTGATCCTTCGTAAAGTTGCCGAACTTCAGAAAGTTCATGGGTGACACCGTTGGAAGATGCTCGATCTTCAAACCAAATTTTCCCATTCAAACTAATTTGAAAACTACTGAATATGATTTGTATGATAAAAAAGACTCCAATGTGAAGTATAACTGGAATAATGAATTTGAAATCCATGGTTTTTCTTGGTAAATTTAATTTAACAGCGAACAGGCGAAATCAAAAGAAAGATAAAGGTCCTTGATACAACTGGGATTCCTGTTTATCTACGCCACAGGGGGACCAATTTGTAAAAACCTAGAATTTGTTTATATATTTCTATTTTTTTTTATTCTAGCACAATTTTATAAATTGAGAGGGAATTTTATCAGAGAAAAACAGCTGAATTGCAAAATAATASATGTGGATAGACAATAAAAATTTCCCCCGGTCATGTCACGTGGATTCTTGGAAAAAACGTCAGTTGTGTACTCTTCCTCCAGAGTGGCCTATACGGATTAAGCATTTAGGGAATTTCCCTCAACGGGTGTATTCCCGTTTCAGTGTTTAAAATATCAAAATTCCTGACTTTCATCTTCCTTGTAGACCGCCTAAAAGACTACGAATCAGCACATTAGGTAAGAAGTCTTTCAAAATTGAGTAGAATGTGTTTTTAGAATCAAAATTTGCTTGGCATGACCATCCATCTTTGTGTTTGTTGTTGAGAGGTAATAACTTATGTCTCTTTACCTTAAAATGTGCTTGTTTGCAACTTCCATGTTCGTCGTCTTTCAGTGTACCATTGATTTGATTGCCAAGTTGTGTTTTGTAAAATGGAAATGTTGCCTTTTAGCAAATTCAAAAAAGGAAGAATGCGAGTTAACTTCAATACAACATAAAAAGGTTCATAATATAAGCTTAAAAGTTGTATAAAGCTTAAATTACGATATAGCCAAGTTGGTTTTCGTTTGTATGCATTAAGGTTAGATTTTTAGTATACAGATAAACAGTGTTTCATTCAAAAACGTTGTTTTCAGTGTGCAATCACGAGATAAAAAATATTCTTARTATACATTTTTCACTTACTTATTTACTTATACATTTTTGTAACGGAAGGAGTTTAGAAGAGGACATTCCAAAAGGTTTGATTGACAATTCATAGTTTAAGCCTTCTTGGGGACAAAAGAAAAAAACAGTTATTATTAGCAAAAGCAGTCCAGGATTCCAGACCCAAAACTGTATAAACCAGTCTCTCAATAATAATGCAYGTAAAAAGCCTACTGCTACATGCGTGCCATTTGGTGTTTAAGCAGAATTTACAGTTCAACTTCATGTATAAGCTGGAAGTGAATTGAAAACAATAGAAAACAAAGGAATGGAAACGAGGCCAAATGGCACAAGGCAAACATCTGAGGATTGTTTTCACCTGAATTCAAGAAAAATTGTTTGTCTGATTCTTGTATCTTAATAAGAGTTTCAAAGCTATTATTATTTATGTTTTTGATCCAAATTTTTTATTCCTACCTGTGATATTTTGTACATCTCTTATAATCTATGTATTCCTCACTTTATTTTAGAATGAAACTTTCCCGACATTTATTATAATTATGAGAAAAACATCATCAAAGTTGGCCAGTTTAGATTTGTGTCAGCAGGGTAGTTCACGTGCCATCCATTCTGCAAGAGCTTCACGAGGGAATCATCACGGAATATGTCATTATAAATTCAAGGAAATGCCGATCTCCATGAGATCTACATAAATTTCTTAAAGATTGCAGCTTTAACAGAAGGTTTCATTCAGTTTACAATTATTCTCTAAGCAATTCAAAAGTCGGTGAGTTCAAAATGTCAAAAGAAATTGTCCAAGCRGATTGTCTTACAAAAAGGGAGGAAAATGTCTTTTGCACCACTCCTATCAGTTCAGGTGTGGTGCCTTCCCAAATGGACAGACGGTCACGTCAACCAATGTTTACAAGTGAAAGTACCATGAGTACCAGGATTGTTCCTCAGCATGACATCACTACAAACTTTTCAGGTATGCTAATAACTATTACTGTCTAGTAATCATAAAATGTCTACAATGTATTTAGTATGTTGAAGAACTAAGGTTTGGCAAATTTGACCATATGTTGTTCTCTGTTTTTTTTTTCATTATCAGAAGAGAAAATTGTCATAGTAAGACGTAGCTCAAGAAGAGCACAGGATCCACAAAAAGCATCTTTGAGCCAATCAAAATACATGGACCAAAAAGAGGGCTATATAGCAAAATATATTGATGTGAACACAACAGATGTTGTAAAAGTACAATTGTGCATTGATCTAATAGCATATGATGTGGAGATTAAGTACAAATATAAAGAGCTGAACTTCCAAGCATTGCTGGACCAAAACATGGTATTTAAAGTTGCTCTGAACTTAGTTGTACCATCACAAAACATAGAAGTATAGATTTAGATTTATTCATTTATTAAGTATCTCAATATTAATAATCAGGTACGAAGAAGAATTAACTGCCTAACTCAGGCACTTGGAATATTGGAAAAATATGCCTCTAACCTGATCAAACCCAATCGACCAGCATTCTGGAGGCAGGTGAAGTTCACTAGCAGCCTGGTAAGAACATACTTAAACAATGTTCATGGCAGTTATGATATCCTCAAGCAGATGGGATACACAAAAAAGGTTCCTGATGGACTCTCCTTTGATGATGACGTGAAATTACCAAATATTGAAAAGGTTAAAGTTCTTGCTGCAGAATTGTTTCTGGCAAAATACGAATCAGATGAGCTAACYCATGAAAGGCATCCCTATCTAGAGATAAAAGCCCTTGAAAGTGTTGCACATTCTGCAACTTCAAAGGTTTGTATTAGAGAGCAATATTTGATGTTTTCTCCCTCTATCCATATTCCTGTTTTCTTTCCTTTTCTAGATTCAATGTTCTTCTAGTCTTTCCATTTTAATTACTGACGTTTTCACARTCTCTTCTCTAACAACTTCGCTGACTTTTTCCTGTATTTTTCTTTCTATTTGTCCAGTTCCATGTTTCTTTTTGCTCATTTTTTTACTATATTTTACTCCCTTTGTATCTTTATCATTTTTCTAGATACAAGAAACTGTCAACAGCGAAGATAGTGAACCTGAATTCTATGATGCAGAAGATGGGTTATCAACAAGTGCAAGTGAATCCCATACTTTACCAATGGCTGGATCAGCTACATTAAATCAAGAAGCCAAACCTTATCCAGCTAATGACGTACAGTGTCATGTTTGCGGTGAAAACAAAGTAAAATTTTCATGCGAAGAGTGTGATGAATATTTTTGTGCAGACTGTGTTAAAAGGTTTCATGGCAATAGAAAACGACAGAATCACAAAATCACAGAAGTAAAAAGRCCTACAAAGGAAGAAAAAGCAAAGGGTTCTCCACCAACTGCTTTGCAAGAGAATTACAATGAGACTGCTAGACGAGTAGTCCCACCAATGCCACATAGTGCAGCAAGGTATGCTACAATGGAAATTATTGATGCTTTGATTTAAAATTTTTAAAGTCTAATTATATTGTCAATAAACATGGTGAAACTGCACAGAAAAGTCACAAAAAAAGACAACAATGCGAACATGGCCGCCATCTTGGATTTCACTTGCTGAAGAAATCTGGCACTAATCTGTGTGTTAACTGACCTTGGTCCTCGAAGGCTCAAGTATGGCTTCTCAACCTACTGAATGACCCCTAATTTTTGAACTGATGGACCCTTTGACCCCCTGAAAGACAATCCTAGTCAGAACACTGAATATCTGATTATTGCAACTGTTCATTGAATATACAGTGCYCATTCATACTGTACTGTATATTATGGATACGTTATAAAACCCATTATAAACACGCTTACAAATACAACTTGTAACTCATTTGTTAACTTTACTAGACCATTCAAAAGGCCAGTTCCTACACCTCGCAAGAGAATCCCCAATACTGCTAAGCCTATTGAAAGACAATCAACTGCTCCATCTAATAAGGCTGTAGATGCCTATGCTCCCTCACAGYCAAGACTTAGAAYTCCTAAYGAGTTACCTCCTCCTCCAACAYATTTGAGACGACCAAGTCCAGAACCAGAATTTCCTCGAAATGCATCAAGAGAGACAAGTATGAAGGCTTGGTTATTTATTTCTTATAAGKTCACAGTCATATCATCTCAATTTTAAGTCGCTGTAAAATAWCTTTGTTTTAACTATTAGTTCCCCGACAACCAAGCACTGAYGGAGAGCGYGAGATCAAACGACCACCKCCATTTGATGAACWAGGGKTRTTTGGAAAAGAGTTGGAAGAAGAACACCTATACGAATCATTAAAAATGCCCTCAGAAAATTTGTATGAAGGTCTKGCAATTAACAGGGAAGATGAAAGTATGTTTTACCATATGACAAATTGTTTAATATTTGTATGATCTGTGTTTAATTGTTATATGCACTATGTTGATATTATAAAGGAGAATTCTAACTTAGACTTTTAATACCWACTAGTAAACATAACCTTACAGCAGAAACAGTTGCATCGCAACTTCAATGTTCAAATGAAATCGTAAAGTTTTTAAGTTTTTCTGTGACTTTGAGGCTGAGCTTGCTGCAAATCAGCCAGTGACTGAATGACTTTACCAAAAGCTCAGCCCCTTAGATTGAAGGAAAGAGGAAAATCAACAAACAAACTCCGAAACCAAGAAGTCGCAATGCAACGATTTTCACTGTTAGTCAAGCAAGAAGRAAAAGTATTAACCACTGTTTTGTCTATAACAGGCACAAAAGAAGAGGCTGTYGCCCCTCCGCCTCTCCCACCACGACTCAAACCACGCTCCCAGTCGWCAGTGACTGCCTGCCCAAGATGTTACTGCCTAAATGAGAAAGATGTAACAAAGTGTGTYGCTTGTGGAAGTTTGCTCACAACAGACCAGAGAACTCTACCAGGCACAACAGATTTGTCCAACCAGCAAACTGGTAATGAAGAAATRAACACATTTAATAGACCTGTGCAAACATTTGGTAGACCCTCACAACGCCTTCCTGGAACACCAACACAGTTTTCATATGAAAACCCTACATATGGATCCCAYGAAACACCACACACATTGATACCTGGAAGGCCTATGTCTGGTGCCACAACAAGTTCTTATCCAGGAATTCCAGAGCAGAAAAGTAAAAAATGGGAGTGTTCTCATTGTACTTTCCACAATGATATTGGTACTAAGATATGTACTATGTGCTCTAAGACTACTGATAACCCTGTTGAAGTGAAGTCAGAAGATGTGATGTCACCTGCACCATCRTATAACCCAATTGTTTCACGRTCTACAAACATCTCACAAAGGATTGATACAACATCCCCTCAACCATTAGTGACTTCTATGGCCTTTGATCCAAATGCTTATAGTCCAAGCTATCTCCGATCAGCTCAAAGTTCATCTGATGAACAGACTTCTCCAAAAACTTTGAYGTCACCATCCTATATCAAGGTAATTTAAGTGAAAAATGCTTTGTATTGTCTCTAATTAACATTGATAAGTTACTTTATATTTAAACTTGGTTTTCTTTACAGAAGGCATATTCTTGAATCTTGTTTTATCCCTCCTTGCATTTCACATTAAATCTAATTTTGCTGTTTTTCAGCTTCAACAGGATGAGCTAACTTCACTGCAGTTAAAACCACTTGTTTCTTCACCTGAGGTCGTGAGTCTACAACAACAASAAGAAAAGATGATTTCACGAAATATTTTGCAACAAACCAGAGAAACTGCTCGGCACTTACAGATGTCGCCTGCCCCACAATCACCTGTAGTAGCAATGTCAGCTACCAGTGTGTYCCCGCAATTTGTTGATCCAAAATCAATTGCTCATTCCCATGGGGGATCCACTAGTGGTTATGGTAGTCAGGAAGGCACTGTTTTACARTACTTAGAAACACAAGAAATGAGAGAAGCAGGAAGGCAATTTGTTAACCTTTTAAAGGTATGACGAGATAACTAGGCTTGAAAATAAGAGTATGAACTGCAATTTATTTATTTTTTATATAAAAAAAACAATCACCGGAACAATTTTTTTTTTCACAGGAGGCAGAGAGGCTTGGSTTTTCTGCCGAGGAGCTTAACATAGCTTACAACCTCAATCAGGACATGGGACCAATTCGCTGGCTTCAGACTGAATGGTTTGACCGCATTCATAGAGTGATGATTGAATTTACAAACATATCAAACAATGACAATTATGGAAACATTAGCCCTGAAGAAGCACGAGAGGCATTGATAGAGCACACGGGGGATGTGAAAGAGGCCAGTCAAAAGTGTGTCAAAGATCGCAAAAACAAGGTAATATATATTAATCAACACTTCAATTGAATGATTCAATACACTATTAAAGTTATATACTATTAATAATAGTGCAAAAAAGCATAAGCCAAACAATTGATGGTTTACAAGCAGTTATGGCCATCATAACGTCAATTGAATCGTGTGTATCGACTGTTTGTAGCAGACATTTTTCCATCCAGAACTGAATTGCCAGTGATTCCTCATTCTCATTCTCACGTTATCGTCTTATTTTAAGCTGAATGAAGTCATGAAAAAAGGGGTTTATATCAGGACGGATGCCATCAAAGCTCTTGACATTAATGAYGGTAATGTTGAGCTTGCCAYCCAGCATTTGCAACGAATCACGTTTGAACCGATGCTTCAAAGAATCAAAGACACTTGCATCAATGATACTGTTGATAACAGAGAGCARCCACAAGTATCAAGACAGCTGAGTCATTCGCAAGATGAAGAGATATTTGAAGCCATTGTCTCCAAYAAGGAGATTGACATGGATGTAAGTATATGTATAAAACATACGCACATGCATTTACTATATGATAGCATAGTGTCTTGAGCCTTTTTACAAGGCACTAGCCTCAAAAAGGTGTCTTTTTATTGAAATAAATGTAGCATCCATAGACTGAGGCAGACAATTTCTGCCACCAAAAACCTAAGAATGTTCATAAAAAAATGACATTCCACCATTTGTATTGGARTTAGAGGCTCCTTAATTGGAGGTGTCTACCGCCTCCCTACCGCCCCTCCCCCCGCCCGTACAAAACCAAATGTTCATCTTTTTCATTGTTGATTCATTCAAATTGGTACTTAATGTAGATTGGCACATCAGGGAAAGGAGCACATAAATGAGCTTTACCAAGTCAATTGTTGTAATATCATTGCAATTCTGTATATCATTTTGATTTTTTTACAGCGTCGAATTCGTGTGATGTTTGCTGAGAAGAATTTTGTGTCTTGGGGTCGTGCATCGACAGCCATCAAGCTCATCGATATGAATTTYCCGGTGTCAGACTCCATTGAAGCAGCCAATGTTAATGGTGATTTACAAAGATCAATACAATATTTACAACGAGAATGCGTTATATGCTTCGAAAAATACCCAGAAAGTCGCGTAAGTGATTTATTGGTGGTGACATTTTATGATGATAATGTATTTTGAGAATAATGAGTGTATATTGTGTTAAGCTTGCTGCAAAAAATGAAAGGTTATTGTGATTGAGGGAATATTATACTTGGTATTTTCTGTAATAAACTTGCGTTTTCTTCCCTTTATATATTATAAATAGTAATGTCAGTTGTGATTTTGTGATTTTTCCCCAGTTGTCTCTCTGTCGCAAATATGAGAGATGTCTGGGAATGAGTCTGCAWTSTTAGGGACTGAWAGTGATGATGGCATCGCTGATTTTGAGTGCATTGATAATGCAAATTGTGGCAATCTTTTTACAGATTAGTCTTCTAAATTGAAAGTCTATTAATTTACWGAGGTTTTATCATCGTTTTGATATTTCAGATGGTCACCATGCTGAATTGTCAGTGTCGCTT